GCCACCACCACCACCACCACCGCCATCACAGCATCAGGGCTGGCCACTGATAAGACAGAGCTTAAAGCCACTGAATCGGGAAATGAACTTCTACTGATACGTTTGGTTCACTGCAGCCATTTCTAGCGTGCCCACCATGCTTTGAAGAATGAGTATAACGTCATCCTGAGGGTCAACCACCATGAAGGTGCCGACCGCCATCCCTGAAGAACCGCACATGAACTGGTCACTTGCCGACGGTTGGACCCCGAGTGTCCAACTCACTTCCTTTTCAATCGTTCCTGTAAGAGACACACAGCTTTTCTTTGCTCCTCTGGAACTCATGGCTTCAATAATATGTATGGCCTACACCCCCCCAGAATATCGTATACCTCAGTCAACATGCATACCTGTCAAGTTCCAGCCAATTGCTATGACCTACTGTATGTCGACCGACATATCAGTCCAGAAGCTTGCCGCTACTCCCACTCCTCGCCGCCTCCCCCACCCCCCCCCCTCCCCCCCCCCCCACCTCACACCTTACCTTACCCGCGCGCGCGCTTTCCTCCTTCCCCGCGCGCTCCCCCCTCCTCTTCCTCTTCCCTCTCACGCTTTCCTCCCCCTGCCTGCCTCTTGCCATCATCCCCTGCTTCCGTTTCTTTCCTCGTTCTTGCTCTTTGCTACTTGTTGTCTCCTCCCTGCTAGCTCCCCTTGCTCCTTCCTTCCATGCTCGCTCCCGCTGCTGAGGAGTACCAGGAGGGTCTCCGTGACGTCCTGCGGAGCCTCTCACTCCGCCATCCTTGCGCGGGGGAGGAGGACAGTGCTCTGCTTCGGACGAGGAGCTGAGGGGCAGGTGGGGAACGTCCAGCTGAGGTGGAGGAGTGAAGCTGTGCTGCAGCTCGGAAACCTCTCGAGCATGTCGGACTCGCACCCGGCGAGAGTCGCTGCTGTGGACGGCGAGGAAGTCATGGTGAGGGAGCAGGGAGCAGGGAGCAGGGAGCAGGGAGCAGGGAGCAGGGAGCAGGGAGCAGGGAGCAGGGAGCAGGGAGCAGGGAGCAGGGAGCAGGGAGCAGGGGGAAGGGAGCAGGGAGCAGGAGGCAGGGAGCAGGAGGCAGGTGGAAGGAGGGAGGAGAGAGGGTGTTTGAGATGGTGGATGGAAGGGGAGGGAGGAGTAGGGGAGAGATAAGTGGGGACGAAGGAGGGAGGAGGGAGCAAGGGGCGTGATTTCCTTACAGGATATCGTGTGCTCAAAACATTCAACCCTTGCAGTCACCAACTTAGGAGGGCGACTGTTCTCCTGGGGAAGCATCCGACTGCACAGGTTTGAACCCTCCTCGCT